TCGATCGCTGGGACAATATGTTTATTCGCCTGACGCTTCGAAATCCGTCGCGAAGTCATCTTCAGAGACATAGTCACAGAACAGACGGGCGACTACATCATCTCAAACCAACACCGCAAGGCCAGATGGTCATGGCTGACACAACGAACCAAAACACACTCAGGACATTTATCGATTTTTTCCGCATGTTTAAATTTTACGGCGGAACCCTGTGCACACACAAACTGTTTCTGCCACTGTTCTGTGAGTATGTCTCTGAAGATTAATCCGCGAATAAACATATTGTTTCGGCGATCGAGTCGTCTTCTACTTCTCAATTACTTCCTGGGACTCGCATGTTCGCTTGTATTAGCAAAAGAAAACTACAATTCCCGCAAATTCTCGTTTTTTTGAAAAATATGTCCATGCTTTCTACCTTATTTTAAAAACTCGATCAAAATTTCAGAATTTAAATGTCATAATTTTTTTAAAGTACGCATTGCTTCATGTGCTGCCGTTTTATCTAGGTTTAAAGCAAAACGGCGCCAGGAGAAATGTGAACTGCACACCAAATGTACCACGGCCCTCGTATGCTCACCACCATGGTGGGTTGTTGTTACTGATGATAGATGGAAGTCAGTATCGAAATTGTCTGCGGGGCGGTAGCGGGGGGAGGGGGAATCAAGCGGTCGAATGCCCATGTTTTCAGCAATGTTCAAGTGCAGCGTCGCTAGGCTACTGAAACTGAGTGAACTCCTGTCTGCATTGTAGCAAAAGATCTTAGATCGATTAAGCAGCTGGTGCATTAACCTGAGATTTGTCGTCGAAAACCGTTGGTTAAGGGCTTCTTTGATGCCTAATTTTCTTTCCTTCTCCCCCTGGGGTTTGTGGAGCACTTTCTGGTCCCCCTCCGGAGGTTCGTTTCACTGTCTTGTCGAATGCGGACGTCGGCATTGATTTAGTTCTGCCTACCAGTGATGAGTAATGTGAGGCAAGGAGGACAAGTAAATGTTTATACCTCGGGCTTAATCTTCCCTAAGCGGATCGTTGTTGTGCAAGCAAGTGGCATGAATGTAGGACAAGACTGACCGACGGTAGCGAATACCAAATCATCTTCGGAAAATAGAGTTTCTGCTTTCGTCTCCACTACGCAAATTTTTGCGATCGCGCAATTAAGCTCTGTTTTAAGCAGCATCAACCCCCATCCCGTCCCAGCGGATGACGTCTAATCCTCACTGGCATCTCGCATATGAGCTGACTCATCTCTGTGCGTTGTTCGCCCTCGCTCCCCCTCTCCCTCCCGTTGCTTCATCCCCATGCAGACCCCTTCGACAATCAGGAGCGTCTGCTTTAGTGTGTGTGTGTGTGTTATGCGCTTGCTGGCTTGGGAGGATTGGCATTACAATAGAGTTTGGTACAGGAAACTCATTTAACCCTTGATCCGATCTGTTGATCTGATCCTTTGATCAGGGGCGGTGCAGGAAATTCTTTTAAATCTTGGTCTGATCCTTTGATAATTAACCCCTGATGTGATCTATGCGCAAGCTGATCGTTCAGCCGTGTTTAAGTGAATCCTGATCTATGAGGTGGCCCTAGGAATTCATTTAACCGCTGATTTGATCCCATCAGCCGATGGTCTGATTAAATTCAAACCAATACACTTGGTCTATATACAAGGCCATGCAATTACCGTAATCTAAATGTGACGCAGTAAACCGTCACAGTGACTTCTGCCAATTTTCCGATTCACCGTTTCCCTAGCCGCTATTTCGATTTTTATTTTTTTTCTTGAGGAAATTTTATTGGCTCATATCAATCAGTATCTTCCGTAGGCTTTACAATGTCAAGAAAGCAACACCAATGATGGTAGTATTGCTTTGAGTATGGCCAGACTGTTCGCCAATACCAGAAGTATCTCATTGGTCTCGCATACCCTGCACTTCTTGGTCCAGAACTGAAAAATCACCTGCCCGTCAGCGTCTGTTCAAACGCCAAACAGTAGAAAATAAATGAGCCTTGAGCCAAATTCAGCGGATAGAAACACCACTTCCAGAGCCCCGAGCACCGGAAAATGAACAATGTTCGCCCTACTTTATGCGCTATTACTCACGTTCAAGTCGACACTGAAAACAGTATGAAGACTTCTAAAAACCCCATAGGGTGTAGGGTGTGTCGTCGAGCAGAAAGGTATGAAGTCGATGGACCACAGCTCCAAATGACAAGCGGGTTTTACTGACAGTCTGAGTAGCACCACTTCAAAAATCGGAGATAGTGTCTGTGGCTTTGATCTTTCAGTACCCATGAGATTCCTGTCTCAAAAAGCTAACTATATGAATGTTTGGTCTCGTTCAACTGGTTGAGTGAAGTGTGATACTTGAGGTAATCTCATTCGTTTCCCCAATCTGTGTTTCGCTACTAACACATACAAGACTGTGACTGTTAAAGTAATTGTTAATAGAGGGGTTTTCTTTTGCTAAAAATAAAATTTGAGGTTCAGATACAACTTTTTACCATACCTGCCGTCACTCATTTGCCCTATCTTAAACAGACATTTCGAAGATGCTGCTGCCCTTGCCTATTAAACTAAGCTGTGCCAATTCAAATCCTGTCGCTACATTCTAAATAATGTCCATTCATCTAGGAGTTCTGTTTACCAAACCCACTTGCCACAGCCTACTTGTGTACTGGATAAATGGAACAATTAACTGCTAAAATCAAGGGGGAAAAGTAGAACCAGTCACTTCTAGTTAGTTTTA